TTATTTGGTGCCTGCAGCTGTAATTTCAGGAGTCATCTGTCTGCAGGACTGAAAGCTTTGGTTAGCCTGATGGAGGGGTGCGGGGGGGGGGGGGGGGGGGGGGGGGAGAGGGCGGGGGGGGGGGGGAGGGTGAGGGGCATTTTGCAGACGGTGGTGGAAAAGCTGCAGTGGGAACCTCGGCAGACAACATTCGATCAGTGGAAGAGAGAGAGAGCGTCTGAACCGACTCAAAGGTTTCTGAGCTCTAAGATGTGTCACCTTGTCAAAAAGAAAGCTAAAGGTTTATTTATTTTACTTATTTATTTATGTATTTATTTCGAACGATTAAAAAAATAGATGAAAATGAAAATGAATAAAGAAATGGAAGAAAAAAAATCTGTATAAAATAAAATAAATAAAAATAAATAAATAAAAATATCTGGTCCTCATGATGTTAAACTTGTTGGATTTGCTAAAAGGTGAAAAGTGTGTCCTCCAGTCTGCTGTAGTTCTGGAGGCTTTGATGTTTCTCTAACTGTTGATCTGAGGCTCGTTACTGTCGTGTGAATAAGAGTTTTAAAGAGTCTTTTTGACCTGCTGCCCGACACTAATGGGGAGATAATGAAACTCTCTGTTGGTGAAAATCTGATCCACTTAGTGTTTATGATCCAGGAGCTGTTCTACTCTTAGTAATTGAGTTCTGCTCCGCTGCAGTCAGATCCTATCGGCCTCGCGGTCTCGTGCCTCAAACACAAACACGGTCGGATCAGACGGCTTACAGGGCACGCCGCGCCAATCGCACTTCTCCATCGGGCAGAAAGCAGCGGTCTCTCGCATGACAACATGGAGGTTAAGCAGGCAGAAAATCCACAGCACATTCCAGCTGAACACAGAGTTCTTCTTCTTCTTCTTCTTCTTCTTCTTCTTCTTCTTCTTCTTCTTCTTCTTCTTCTTCTTCTTCTTCTTCTTCTTCTTCTTCTTCTTCTTCTTCTTCTTCTTCTTCTTCTTCTTCTTCTTCTTCTTCTTCTTCTTCTTCTTCTTCTTCTTCTTCTTCTTCTTCTTCTTCTTCTTCTTCTTCTGGATATTTTAGTCCATTTGGTCAAATGTTTCCTCTTCATCTGGTCATCATTTTGTCTGTTAGAGCATATGGAACACACAAGAAAGTCTCTCTCTTGACAAACTTTGGAATGCACATTTTAATGTTTTTTAATAGATCAATAGAACACTGAGAAACATGTTTACTACCCTCTGAAGTCACGAAGGACAAAAATGTCCACTTCCAAAAAACTGATATAAGAATAGAACAGATTGATATTTGTTTCTACTTTTTTCTGCATAAATCTCTTAAACAACTTCAGCCCTGCTCAGAACTACCAAACATCCAATCATTTTTAGGAATTTAACCCTTTAAATGCCAGTTTGATTACTTGATGTCACTGTTGTTATTTATGAAAGAAAAACACGTGTTCAGGTCTGTCAGGTGTCTCACTGCAGTCCAAGAAGCCAGCGTTAGTTTTCCGGTCAAACCACAGCGGCTCACGTGCAGCAGCAGATGATCCTGGATTCTGATCTGGTGTCTGATCTGGTTTCTGTTCTGGTGTCTGTTCTGGTTTCTGTTCTGGTTTCTGATCCTGGATTCTGATCTGGTTTCTGGATCTGGTTTCTGATCCTGGATTCTGATCTGGTGTCTGATCTGGTTTCTGTTCTGGTTTCTGATCCTGGTTTCTGTTCTGGTTTCTGTTCTGGTTTCTGTTCTGGTTTCTGATCTGGTTTCTGATCTGGTTTCTGTTCTGGTTTCTGATCTGGTTTCTGATCCTGGTTTCTGATCCTGGATTCTGATCTGGTTTCTGGATCTGGTTTCTGATCTGGATTTGATCTGGTGTCTGATCTGGTTTCTGTTCTGGTTTCTGCTCCTGGTTTCTGTTCTGGTTTCTGTTCTGGTTTCTGATCTGGTTTCTGATCCTGGTTTCTGATCTGGTTTCTGTTCTGGTTTCTGATCTGGTTTCTGATCTGGTTTCTGATCCTGGTTTCTGATCCTGGATTCTAATCTGGTGTCTGATCTGGTTTCTGTTCTGGTTTCTGGATCTGGTTTCTGATCCTGGATTCTGATCTGGTGTCTGATCTGGTTTCTGTTCTGGTTTCTGATCCTGGATTCTGATCTGGTGTCTGATCTGGTTTCTGTTCTGGTTTCTGGATCTGGTTTCTGATCCTGGATTCTGATCTGGTGTCTGATCTGGTTTCTGTTCTGGTTTCTGATCCTGGTTTCTGATCCTGGATTCTGATCTGGTTTCTGGATCTGGTTTCTGATCCTGGATTCTGATGTGGTTTCTGATCCTGGATTCTGATCTGGTGTCTGATCTGGTTTCTGTTCTGGTTTCTGGATCTGGTTTCTGATCCTGGATTCTGATCTGGTTTCTGATCCTGGTTTCTGATCCTGGATTCTGATCTGGTGTCTGATCTGGTTTCTGTTCTGGTTTCTGGTCTGGTTTCTGATCCTGGTTTTTGATCTGGTTTCTGATCTGGTTTCTGATCCTGGTTTCTGATCTGGTTTCTGTTCTGGTTTCTGTTCTGGTTTCTGATCCTGGATTCTGATCCTGGTTTCTGATCTGGTTTCTGTTCCCGGTTTCTGATCTGGTTTCTGTTCTGGTTTCTGTTCTGGTTTCTGTTCTGGTTTCTGATCCTGGATTCTGATCCTGGATTCTGTTCTGGTTTCTGATCCTGGATTCTGATCCTGGATTCTGATCCTGGATTCTGATACTGGTCTCAGAGGTGAGGATGTAAGTGGACTCTCTCTCTCCCAGCAGACTCTAATGAGCAGCTCTCAGTATTCATTAACTTCCTGTCTCACTGAGAGCGGACATATGGCGAGCCTGGACTGGACGCTGCGCTCTCTCGCTCTCTCGCTCAGACAGAACGGAGAGACGATCTCTGCTCCTCCACATGGCGCTCTGATCACCGAGGCGCTTCACTTATTGATCACTTGAATCCCCCGTTCTGCTAAACTGGATCCTTCTATCGTCTCGGTCTGAATATCAGATTCCAGCTAGTCTTAGCGACCGACACTTCAGGAAATCCTCGCCGTTTAACTTCAGGTTTCAACAACAACATGACTGTGTGGCTGCAAACCGCTGAAACCAAAACACAGCTCCGTGTGGTCGACAAGGCACAAGGCGAGCGAGTGTCCCTGCTGCAGCCACACCTCCACCTGAGGCACTTGCCTTCCAACACAAACAAACGGGTCAGAGAGCGGGGAGGTCGAATAACCACAGAGGAAGGAGTCGAGGACGGGTTGACGTTTCTAAGGCTCCGTTTCCACGACGACGACTAAAAACACATTTGAAACACGAGTTCTGCACATGCTCAGTACGCTTCCAGTCTGTAGCCATGAGCGAGTGGCTGGACTACAACAACAATGGCCGACTCCTGAGTGCTAACGAATTTGACGCTGAATCCATCTGAATGCCAATAAGTGAAGGAAGAGTGTGTGTGTGTAGCGCTCTCGTCAGCAGGTCATATTGTGGATCAGAACCGGTGTGTGTGTGTGTGTGTGTGTGTGTGTGTGTGTCTGGTTCAGGTCCCTGCAGGGCTCCACTTAGCCTCTAATGTGTCACTAAATATTTGTTAGATGGAAAATAACACATTTTTTGTGTTTTTTTCCATAAATAACAACAGTGACATCAAGTAATCAAACTGGCATTTAAAGGGTTAAATTCCTAAAAATGATTGAATGTTTGGTAGTTTTGAGCAGGGCTGACGTTGTTTAAGAGATTTATGCAGAAAAAAGTAGAAAAAATATCAATCTAAGTGGACATTTTTGTCCTTCGTGACTTCAGAGGGTAGTAAACATGTTTCTCAGTGTTCTATTGATCTATTAAAAAACATTAAAATGTGCATTCCAAAGTTTGTCAAGAGAGAGACTTTCTTGTGTGTTCCATATGCACTAACAGACAAAATGATGACCAGATGAAGAGGAAACATTTGACCAAATGGACAAAAAGTGTTTTTAAAGATGAAATATTCAGCTCTTCAGGACTTTTCTTCCCCTTAAATAAATATTTATTACAACTTTGAAGCCTCTGAGTTCTTCCTTCCAGTTTCAGGACTCCACCAATAACATGTAGCTGAATGTTTCGCATCACTTCTAGAGTCCAAGACAAATTTACCCAAGGGGACAATAGAGTGTACCGGAGGCTGTAGTGCACTACGCGGGCAGCCTGGTTTCGAATCCGACCCGTGGCACCTTTCCCGCTCTCTCTGATCTCAGACCCTATCCACAATCCTCTCGAAAGAAAAAGCCAAATAAGTAAACCTAAAAAAATGTGAATTCTTTGTATCCATCCATCCATGGCTCCGCCAGCACGTCTAATAATAATCTAATAATAGAAAGTAAATATAGAACACTTTGAGTGACGTCTCTGCAGCGTCAGGAGTTCAACACGCTCGCCAACAGTAAGAAATAATTCACCCGTCTTAAAGAAGAGTTCATGATTTATTTATTACAGCAGAAAAATATGTTTATGACAAAAAACAGAAAATGTTTTACATTCAACATGTGATACAAAACACATCTCAGCTGTCATTTTATAAAAACTGTACTTTATTTTTAACCGTCCATAAATAATGTTTTATTGGAGCCGATATTCCTGACAGATGAAGCCAAAAGCAAGAAAAGCTGCAGTACCTCCAGTGTCCACTAGAGTCTGTCTCCTGCAGTGAGTCAGTCCTCATAGAGCTCCATGTTAAAGTGTCTAACTTTACAGCTGCAGTTCCTCCAGTGTCCACTAGAGTCTGTCTCCTGCAGTGAGTCAGTCCCCATAGAGCTCCATGTTAAAATGTCTAACTTTACAGCTGCAGTTCCTCCAGTGTCCACTAGAGTCTGTCTCCTGCAGTGAGTCAGTCCCCATAGAGCCCCATGTTAAAATGTCTAACTTTACAGCTGCAGTTCCTCCAGTGTCCACTAGAGTCTGTCTCCTGCAGTGAGTCAGTCCCCATAGAGCTCCATGTTAAAATGTCTAACTTTACAGCTGCAGTTCCTCCAGTGTCCACTAGAGTCTGTCTCCTGCAGTGAGTCAGTCCTCATAGAGCCCCATGTTAAACAGTTTGGGTCTGTAGAGCTGTGATGTAAAGTTAGGGGGCGTGGCCTCTTTGAGTGACAGGTCGGGGCTGCTAGGTGTTGTCTCAGCTGATTCAGTCCCTGACCTTTGACCTCTGGGCCGTGTTTGGTGCCTGCAGGTGGTCTGATCCAGCTCCTCGTCGTGTTTCCAGGGTTTGAGTCCTGAGCTCTGGCGCCCCCTGGTGGTCTTCTGATGGTTATGCACTCTTCACAGCACTCTGAGGACCTGAAGACTCTGAAACAACAGAAACAGAGATGACAACACATTGCAGCGTGGGCGCCGTTTTGAAGTCGACATATTTGGGAGCTTCCTGTTTCTGACGGTTAAGGTCACCTGTGTGCAGGCGGCTTGTCTTGATCCGGCTCTCCTCCAGCTTTTCAAAATGTTTCCTTATCTCTCCGGGCTCTGGGCTGGAGGCTCCTCCCGAGTCCACCTCGCAGGTCAGCACCGTGACAGACCCCCGCACGGCCTTCAGGTGGACCTGAATGACATCCTACAGACAGACAGACAGACAGACAGACAGACAGACACACACACAGACAGACAGACAGACAGACAGACAGAAGAAGAAGAGTTCAGGTGATTTCTGATCATTAAAAACAAGAGAAACTCGATTGTGGGCGTGTACCACTTCTATTTCTGTTGCCATGGTAACATAACCCTTACCTCTCTGGGAGCAGGGATCTCCAGCTTGGTTTCCTCCGGAGCTTTAACCACGATCACCGTCTGATCGTGGAACACTGGAAGCTGGCTCACGTCCTCCAGGGTCACGTAGGCACACGTAGAGACCGGTTAAAGAAAATCAGAATCTAAACACATAAAGCAGTCTCCTTCAAAATAAAATACAGACTTCTCCTAAAGTGAACAGTCAGCAGCTGTCTCCTTCAAAAAAAATTGCAGACTTTTGTAGGGACCTACAAAATAAAAGACAGACTTATGTAGGGACCTTCAAAATAAAAGACAGACTTATGTAGACAGACTTATGTAGGGACATTCAAGATCCCCATCGTCCCTTCTGGGCCTCCGTACATGCGTTTACAAGCTGCAAAGGATATGAGGCGTTTTTGGTGTCGTCCGTCATGTCGAAGAGCTGCCGGGCGCAGCTTTTGATGAGGCCGTCCAGCGCGTCCTCCACCTGCTTCAGGTTCTCCAGCTCCTTCAGTTTCTGCAGGTTAGCCAGGCTGGAGATGGAGCAGCGACCTCTGCACACAGAGAGAGAGAGAGAGAGAGAGAGAGAGAGAGAGAGAGAGAGAGAGAGAGAGAGAGAGAGAGAGAGAGAGAGAGAGAGAGAGAGAGAGAGAGAGAGAGAGAGAGAGAGAGAGAGAGAGAGAGAGAGAGGGAGAGAGAGAGAGAGAGAGAGAGAGAGAGAGAGAGAGAGAGAGAGAGAGAGAGAGAGACGAGAGAGAGACAGAGAGAGAGAGAGAGAGAGAGAGAGAGCAGAGAGACAGAGAGAGAGAGACAGAGAGCGAGAGAGAGAGAGAGACAGAGAGCGAGAGAGAGAGAGAGAGAGAGAAGGAGAGAGAGAGCGAGAGAGAGAGAGAGAGAGAGAGAGAGAGAGAGAGAGAGACAGAGAGACAGAGAGAGAGAGAGACAGAGAGAGACAGAGAGCGAGAGAGAGAGAGACAGAGAGAGAGAGAGAGAGAGAGAGAGACAGAGAGAGAGAGAGAGACAGAGAGCAGAGAGAGAGAGAAGAGAGACAGAGAGCGAGAGAGAGAGAGAGAGAGAGAGACAGAGAGAGGAGAGCGAGAGAGAGAGAGAGAGAGACAGAGAGCGAGAGAGAGAGAGACAGAGAGACAGAGAGAGAGAGAGAGAGAGAGAGAGAGAGACAGAGAGAGAGAGAGAGAGAGAGAGACAGAGAGCGAGAGAGACAGAGAGAGAGAGAGACAGAGAGAGAGAGAGAGAGAGAGAGAGAGAGACAGAGAGCGAGAGAGACAGAGAGCGAGAGAGAGAGAGAGAGAGACAGAGAGAGAGACAGAGAGCGAGAGAGAGAGAGAGAGAGACAGAGAGCGAGAGAGAGACAGAGAGCGAGAGAGAGAGAGAGAGAGACAGAGAGAGAGACAGAGAGCGAGAGAGAGAGAGAGAGAGACAGAGAGCGAGAGAGAGAGAGACAGAGAGAGAGAGAGACAGAGAGAGACAGAGAGAGACAGAGACAGAGAGAGAGAGAGACAGAGAGAGAGACAGAGAGCGAGAGAGAGAGAGACAGAGAGAGAGAAAGAGAAAGCTATGAATAGGAGCCGGCTTCTGAGCGGGACGGATTCTATCGGCCTCGTCACACAATGACTGGAGGACGCAGGGAGCGTCTACAGAGTGGAATAATAATGTGTGTGTGTTGAAAATGTAACAGGAGCTCAGTTTCAGATCCTTCTCATGATGCCTGTGAGATGTCTGATACTCAAAGCAGAGGGCGCCTCATCCTGCTGAAGGACGCCGCTCTCTGTCCAGTGTACGATGATGGAAAACTAAAAGCAGCTGGCTGACTCAAACGACCTCTAGACGACTCAAACGACCTCTAGACGACTCAAACGACCTCTAGACGACTTCACGACTCACGTCCACTTGACTTTGTTCTTGGACTGTTTCTCGATGAGGTTGATGCCGTCCAGGACATTGGTGATGTCGTAGACTCGGCGGCGGCGCGTCTGAAGCCTCATCATCGCCTGATGGATGTCCACGCAGCCGTCAGGAGACGACTGCAGCAACTCGAGGAAACCACGAGTCAGCGTGCCCAGAGACACATCTACACACACACACACACACACACACACACACGTTAGAGGGAAAATCAAACATGCAGATTTTACAACTCAAACATTCAATTCATGTGTATCTCAGAATTTGTCAAATATTTGTTTACATTATTTTAAGGACAGTATGTGGAGTGTGTGTGGAGTAAAGTGTGACACACCCCTCTGCCCCCCTCCTCCTCACACACTTTAAAGAGTCCATAATCTGCCCTTTTTGAGGTTCATGTATTTAATCTATGTTCCTACTTTTGTACGTTCACAATAGATAAAGTTTTTAAAAAGTGTCTGTTTTCATGAACTGCTCCTCCTTGCTCCCTCTCTGCTCTGAGTCCGTCAGCTACACTCTGTTGAGCCCACACTGTTAGACCCCACATGGGCCAAGTCTGCTCTGATTGGTCTGCTGATCTGCTCTGTCGTTATTGGTCAGTCGCTCAGCACGCTTCTCGGAAATGTCCCGCCTCTTTTACCATATTTGGAATGCAGCCACTTTGGCTCCGAGGGGAGCATAAACATTAGCACCTTAGCACTACTGTGCTACCGCAGGCTACGGCATATCGTGGGCGTGCTACAGAAGTTAACGGGCGTGCAACATGAGCTGCTGGGCCACAACGAGCCAATGGGCTTAGATCAGTGATCTCACACTGACAATGACATCGCACTGACACATTTTTATCGAGGGGGGCTAGAACCGAGCGTTACATGCAGCTAATGCTACAGCTAACAGGAGGACGTAGGAGAAGCCGCGTTTCCGCGGACTTTGAATTTTTGCTCATAGATGTGACTAAACATGCACAGGACACTTAGAAAACACACTAAAGAGCAGATAAAACCAGAAAAAGAAGAATATAGGACCTTTAAATCAGTGCTCACCTTGTCTCACCCCTTTGGACCTGATCCAGGGTTTGGTCTGCGGCGCTGCAGGACTGAAAGAAAACCACAACAAAACATTTTCATTAAAAACAGTCTCCGTCAGCAGCAGCAGCAGCAGCAGCAGCAGCAGCAGCAGCAACAACAACAACCCCGTGAGAAAAAACAGTTCAACATTATAAGACGAGCTTCCCGAGGCTCTGGAGACTCTGTTACCTGGTGGTCCGAGGCTCAGGAGGGATTTTAAAACATCCCTGATCGTGATCCTGTAAGATGGAGAGAAAGACTCAGATCAACATGTGGAGAGTTCTGATGTTTTTATACCCCGGATACAGAAGAAGAAGAAAAAACAACAACCCCACAAATCCACCTGAGGAGCTTTATCACAAGTCTCTTACTGCAGGAAGCTTCAAACATCAAACAGAGTCCACACCTGCTGTGGTGCAGCAGCATCTCCACCTTCATCCTCCTCCTCCTCCTCCTCTTCTTCTTCTTCTTCACAGCCTCCTGTCCCCCACTGCTCCTCCTCCTCCTCCTCCTCCTCCTCCTCCGAGGACTCGGCCGTCCAGGGGCTGATGAGGCCCAGCTGCCCGTCCAGGTAGGGGGGCATGATGGGAATGGCAGCAGGGTTGATGCCGTTGCTGGTGACGTCGTCTGGCAGGAAGTGGTCTTCACAGATCTGGTGCTGCTCCGTCAGCTCATCTCTGTCCGTCTCCCGAAGCGCCGCCAGCCAAATCTAAACAACGACATCATCGATGGGATGTTTTGAAATGATTACAAGGTCAGTGTAGAGGATTTAGCTAATCAATACTAAATGTTATAATTCATAAGAGCAGTCGAACGTCACTTCCGGCTCTATCGTGGCCACGTTTGGCCCATTGACACCCATTCAAACCACGTTTTCATTCCTTGTTATTTACAGAATAAAAATCATGGCAAAATGGCTTTTATTATAAACTCAACACTTGGAAATTGTAGTTTTTAATGTTTTTTATTTACCAGATTATGTTATTTATTCATTTCTGGCCAAGGGAGCAATTTCATGTAATATTCTCAGTTTCCAGTAGGGGCGTATGATGGCATACTGCACTCCAATGGAGCAAATTAATTACACAATTTTGACGTCGGTGTGATCATAAGGATGTCAGTTAATGATTTGTGTCTGTGCATGAAAAACAAATTGTGTGTGCAGCACAAATATGTATTAGCAAGATAGAGTTAAAGAAATGATGATGTATTTCTGTTGATGCAGGTTATTGAGCTTTGAGTTTCCCAGACACACTTGTCTTTGATGCACATGTTGAAAGCATCTTTAGCTTTTTTCTTTTCATAAAAAATGCCACACACATCTACACAATAGCCCTTACACACCCAAATATCTACTCTCCAAAATAAAAAAGATCACAGGACATGTTGCAGAGGTCAAAGGTTCAGCTGCAGGGGAAACGAAAACAAACTCTGGCACTGTTTAGAAACCTGTCCTGGAGTTCATGCAGGTGCAGTCAATACGAATTCTATAAGTAAGCCTAACAGCTCCCAGATCATTTTGGCTCTGGCAAGATGGCAAGAAGGTCATATTCACTGCTTCAAGCACTTGACTGTGTGACACACTCGGAGAGTGAAGATGGGGAGAAATCCTCTGCACTAGAAGAAGAGTCATCTTCTACCCAAGATGGATGAAGGTATTCATGTGCTACGTGACATGTACGATAAGTAATGGGTTGTGTCCCAAATCACTCACTCATCCCCTACTCCCTATATAGTGCGTTGTATGTAGTGGATAATATATACATATAATTATTATATAATGCACTTATTTATCAAACATTCAAAGCATTTCGGACACTAGTCACTCACTCACTGGCCGTTAACTGTGACATCATTGTTGTCGTACAAATATCTGGTGTAGCTTAACCCCAGTCAATGATCAATAATGAAATGTATTATCATGAACAGCTCAAATCTCCAAACTGACAACAATTATTGCTTTTTGGAATATTTCATGCCCATTTTGAATTTGATGCCAGCGACTTATTTGAAAAGGTTTGGACAGAGTCATGTTTACCTCTCTGTTGAACAGCAACCACAGCTGAACAGCACCTCCAGCTGTGGAGTGTCTCTGCAAGGACCACTCTACAGTGGTTTGCACATCCTGCCGGTCTTGAGAATGCACACACACACACACACACACGCACGTACACACAAATACTCATTGAAACACACTTCTAAAAAAATCAACTGTTGATAGTAGAACATAATCTTATGTGGTATTTTTCTAGCATTTTGTAAAAACAAAGAAAATGTTTTTCGCCTCTAACACGGCAAGTGGGAGTTTTTGTCTTTTTAGTCACTGCTCAAAAGAAGTAATAATGCAAAATATATATATAATCTTTGTCACTGTTACTAACCTGCAATGATCATTAAAAAAAATTTGGTTTCATCAATGTTATGTGAAAAAATTACAACTTTCTCTCTTTTTTCTCTGGAAAGATAGTGGTAATATGTAATCTAACTGGTATTTAAAGGGTTAAAATTCTGGAATTTATTACATTTTTGACTTTCATGTTCAGCAAAGCAAAGCAAATAAAAAAAAATCAAGAGGTGAAAGTGGACAAATCCTTTAATATATATACATTTTATAGTATTTTCAGAATATAAACAAGAGGTGGCCACGAACAAGCTGAGAGGGTTTTTCTGTCACTGCACAAGAAAATAGTGATGCATAAAAATCATTGGTACTGCTGATTGTTGACATACATTTAGCTGCAATGATAGTTAAAAAAAATATTCAGGTAACATGTATTATTTGGTAAAAAAATTGTGATTTTATACTTTTCTCCCTTTTTACATCATTAGCATATTGTGATCTAACAGGCATTTAAAGGGTTAAAATTCTGAATTTGAATGAAATTGTGGTTTTCATGACAAGGACTGAAGCAAATTTAAAAAATCAAGTGGTGAAAGTGGACAAATCCTTTAATAAAACATACTTTTACAGCATTTTGCAAATGTAAACAAGAGGTGGCCACTTCTGGCCACGAACAAGCTGAGAGGGAGTTTTTCTGTTTTTCTGTCACTGCACAAAAAATAAAAATGCACCCCAATTTGTTCATTAACCGCCATTCATTCCGACGGAATGATTTCACCCAGAAAGGGGCGGGGCCAGCATCGTTTGGGCAAAGTACCCGGATGGGTTGCTCTCATGAATAGAATTACTGAAGGGCTATAAAGAGCAAGATGACTTAACAACAAACTTATTAAAGATGAAATATTACAACTTGAAATATTACAATATTATTATTTTTTAATGAAAATGCTTAAATATATTCATTAGATACGTCTTCGTGGAAAAAAAGAAGCATTCGCGGGGATACGTTTTCAACGGCTGTTGTAACCACGACAACCAAAGCGTGTTAGTCACCAGATGACACGGTCACCAGTTAAACGGAAACACCTTTATAAAGAGGGGATACAAAGACCGAGCCCCTCTGCTCCAGTTAGTTTTTAAAACGTTACCTTAACCCGAGCGGGATCTTTAGGGAAGTCGAAGAACCTCTTCGGTGTTGGTTTGAAGACCCCCCGGTTAACGTCCACCGAGCGGTTCGGACACCCGGTGACGACACACTTCACCATCCTGGTCGTTTCAGCCCGAGCCTTCCCGGGCTAACGACACAACCGGAACCAGTTACAGCAGGTTTTTTAAACCCCACGACCCAGTTACAGCAGGTTTTTTAAACCCCACGACCCCGTTAAAGCAGGTTTTTAAACCCCACGACTGCAGTGAAACCAGAGTGAAACGCGTGCTGTTTGTGTATGTGGGCGTGTTTTTACACCGGAAAAAGATACTGTTGACCCGGATGCACAAAAATGGAGGGAAAGAAGATTGATGCGTGTTTCAAAATAAACCCTTATTATAATTTAAATAAATACAAAACGACACTGTTTATGGAAGAAACCAACGAGTATTAAAGAGATACGAAAACACACTAGATATTAGAAATATCAATCTCAATTTTCTTCCAAAAATATTTAACTTAAAGCAAAAAATCAGAAAGATATTTCACGATATTTCCCACTCCAAAAAACATTTTACTTTTAACTTTTTGTATACAGATCATTTGTAAATGCTGTCTGTTGTTGGGAATAAAGGAAAAAGACAAAAACAAAAACAATGGATAATGGATAAAGATGAATTCACTGCCAGTTTCTTCAGTGGAAGAAAATGCAACAGAAACAAGTCTGCATTGGATTGTACAGTGTAGATTCTGCTGCTTATTATTTAGCAAGTATATTTCATTAAAGGCATGTTTTTTTACCACCGCAATTAACAATTGTATCTTGCCGAGCCTACAATTGCATTAATCGACACATTAGCTTCTGCAAACCCATATGGTCACATTTACTCTTTTGTCTTTCCCCCCTTTGCTTGTGTTTTGGGTCCAAAGTACAAGATGGTAAACTAATGCAAATGTAAATAATGCAAAACACAATTCTTAAAAATATATATTCAGGGTTCATCCTGATTTTTGTCCTGCTCTTGTAACACATCTGAATCTCTATCGCTCCCCAAATGTTTTCATCATTTAATTTCGTCTCTCTTTTTGCATCTCCATCGACCCCCTCTCAACCCAACACAGTTCCAGTCTTTACTCCTTTGCATCAAAAGGAGTCAGTTGAGGTGGTTCAGGGATCTGGACGCATCCCTTTGGAGGTTATCCATGGCATGCCCAATTCGGAGGAGACCTGGGGCTTCTCAGAGGTCGCTGGAGGGATTATATATCCCATCTGGCATGGGAACACGGCGGCATACCCAGGTGGAGGTGGGAAAACGATGCCTAGGAGAGAGAAGATGTCTGGGTTGACTTGCTTAGCCTGCTGCCACCAAGGTCCGATCTATGTTAAAAGATAGAAAATGGATGGACAGAATTCAGACGACCGACATACAAGTGTGCGCAGTTCTTTAGATTTGAATCTGAAACAGTCTGTTTTGAAGCCCTGTTAGCAGCTTCTCTCTGCACACAAAGATACTCCCTCCTACAGCTCACACAGAGACACTGAGGAGTCAAGTCCAGACCAAAACCTAAACCCAGGGTAAAGGAGTTTGTTGAATGTGGTGTTAAATGTGTGGAGATGAGTCAGTGAGTCATCAGAGGAGACGGTGTAGAAGGACAGAGTGCCAGCAGGACAGTCCACGTACACTGCTACTCTGTTTGTTGAGGTCATGGACAGAGGGATTAGTGTTTCTCTGAGATTGTGATAAACAGAGTAATGTTCTTTTGAGCAGTGCAGATTCCATGACTGATCACTCCCTCCAAACCAGCAGTCAGCACTGTACCCTTTCCTTCTGATTTCCTTGTAAGTGACTGCGATATGAACTTTTCCTTCCCACTCGACCTCCCAGTAACAGCGACCAGTCAGGCCGTTTGTGCACAGCAGCTGACAGTAGTCAAATCTCTCTGGATGATCAGGGTATGGCTGCTCCTCTCTCACAGCCATCACCTTCCTGTTGTTGTGAGATAGTTTGAGTTTTCTGTTTGCTGTGTTCGGGTCCATCGTGAGATCACAGGCATCTGATGGACAGGAAAGACATGTTATGGTATTAGTTCCATTAGTTTTTATTCACACTTGTTATCTTGACAAACTCTTAGCACTATACTACTTATTCTGCAGATTGTTGTTTTTTGATTTTATATAAATGAAACAACATAGATGCTCACACTTCCTTAGACCGGGTTTCAGCCATTGCTCCCCACTTGGGTCCACCCTGGATTAAGAAACATATATTATATACAATTTCATAAAGTATGCAATAGCATTTTATAACCTTCTCCCTCTAATATAGTTCTGAGCTGTTATAAAACATTCAGATTGTGTCAGTGTTACAGAAATACAATGTTTAAGCTCCATTTTCTGGTCCATACTTGAGAGTGTCCAATCTCCAGTTTGGATCCTTCAGCCCAGCATACAGCGTCTTCAGTCCTGAGTCTCCTGGATGGTTGTAGCTCAGGTCCAGTTCTCTCAGGTGGGAGGGGTTGGATTTCAGAGCGGCCACCAGAGCAGCACAGCCTTTCTCTTGGATCAGACAACCTGACAGCCTGCAAAGACAGAGAAAGGAAGGTGGGACATGTCCAAATTCGTTAAACTGACTTTAGCTTGAATGGACTTGTACTCATTGTACTTTTCTAGTCTTCTGTCCACTCAAAGCGGTTTTACACAGCATGCCACTCTCATACATTCACACCACATTCATACACTGATGGCAGAGGGTGCTGATTAAAGTGACCACAACTAATCACAGTCATACACCTTCCCACACTGATATTAATGCGACCGGGAGGAGCAATTTGGGTTTCATTGTCTCGCCCAAGGACACTTTGGCATGTGGACTGCAGGAGCTGGGATTGAACTTCCAACCTACTGCTTGAAAGATGACTGACAGCATGCCCCCAACATGCCAGCTACCAAGTCCATGTAATGTCCAAATATTTCATTTGGGAAAGCAGCAGGTAATTGAACATAGCCTTTAAAGCTTTCAAATTGGTGTGTTGGTGACAGCGTTTCAAACTCTTCTCTGCTCACAAACAGTTGCCAGTACATTAAACACATAAGCGTAATATCAATGCAAAAACAAATCCAAACTGGAGATTGGGCGGCTGTGGCTCAGTTTGTAGTATCGGTTGTTTCCTAACCAGAAGGTCAGGGGTTGGATCACCAGTTCCTGCAGCCACATGTCCGATGTGTCCTTGAGCAAGACACTTTACCCCAAGTTGCTCCCGCTGCTTTGTCGGTGGTGTACGAATGTGTACTGAGAATCTGTACCAATAGGATTAGTGACTTCTGATGGACTCTTTACCCAGCAGCCTCTACCATCAGTGTGTGAACGTGTAGGTGTCACCTACGGTGTAAAAGCGCTTTGAGAAGTTAGAAGACTGGAAAAGAAATGTACAAGCTCAAGTCCATTTACCATTTTTCAAAAGGCAGACACCTTTGCTTTTAACAAACATTTAACATGACATCTTATTGCAAAAAAGTTGTTTTCTCACCTGAGAATTTCCAGTGTACAATTTGTGCTTCCCAGTCCACCAGAAAGCAGCTCCACACCCAAGTCCTGAAGGTCATTGTTACTCAGGTCCAACTCTCTCAGGCAAGAGGACTGCAAACTGAGAACTGAGGCCAGGGCTTCACATTTTCTCCATGATAAGTTACAGTCACCAAGACTAAGGAAAAATAGAAGACATTTTTGCGCCAAATTGCACCAACATATTTTTGCAAAGAACTCTCTCTTGGTTCCGGCAAAGGTGTGGAGGGCTTGGACAATTTATTTTGGACATTTGAGTTTAAGATAACTCGAGTAAATGGGGGAAATTATTGCAATTGTCAACAAATGCTTATAAACTGCCAATGTAATGCGGTCTATTTACGCCTCTGTTGTGCCATTTAGCCTGAAATGTGTAATTTACAGAGGCAAAATGATGGGGCAAAGTCATCCCGCCCCTGATCAGAAATTGGAGGTATTAACATAGGCTTAATGGGGGGAATGGGCTGGTGATGCGTTACGTTGGAGTGTACAGTACTGTGTATTAGATAGGGTCTATAGGAAGTGACTTCCTTATGATGAACCTTGATAACCACCAAAAATCATCAATGTGCCTCCAATCAATCTTTCTATAATAGCTGAATCCAAAGTCTCACTCTCAAACCCTCTTGCTGCCTTGATGTTTATAAGCCTGCATCCCTTCTCACAGCCGTTTGTTTACTCTGATTGGATACTGGAATACTGAGATGATCAAAGTCAAATTTAATTTAAAGGATTTCAAGGAACTGCTTCTTTGTCTATCAAACCTCAGTGAAATCGTTTTTTTTTCCAAGTCCAGTGGATATATTGCCTCTGCTTTGTTTTGTTTGTTTGGATACCTCTTTGTGAAAAGCTTGACAACTAGATTTGAAGCCAAAGGTTTTTGAGACTTGAAGCCATCCGACACAAAAAATCAAACACTGGGATTGCTGATGTACACAGCTTAGTAAGGCATACACTTACTGGGCTTCACTGGAGACTTTGATCACTGGTAGCAGCCTCAGAAGAGCCTCCTCTGAAGCAGAGTATTTCTTCAGGTCAAACACATCCAGATCTTTTTCTGATGTCAGTAAGATGAAGACCAGACCTGACCACTGAGCAGGAGACAGTTTGTCTGTGGAAAGACATCCCGTTCCAAGGTACTGTTGGATCTCCTCCACCAAAGAATGATCCTTCAGTTCATTCAAACAGTGGAACAGATTGATGCTTCTCTCTGGACAGGGACTATCTCTAATCATCATCTTGATGTATTCAACTGTTTTGTCCTTGGTTTGTCTCATTTCTAAGCTGCTTCCTGTCTGTGTCAGTAGGCCTTGGAGGAGAGTCTGACTGGACTCCATGGAAAGACCCAGAACAAAGCGTAGGAACAAGTCCAGATGACCATTTCGACTCTGGAGGGCCTTGTCAACAGAACTCTGGTAGAGATGTATTTGATTGTGCTTTTTTCTAAATATTTTACTCCAACATGATGTTTGTTCTTCTGACATCAGATTGACACCAGAGTTGATGAAGGTCAGATGGACATAAAGAGCAGCCAGAAACTCCTGAACACTCAGATGGACGAAAGAGAACACCTTGTCCTGGTACAGTCCTCTCTCCTCGATGAAGATCTGTGTGAACACTCCTGAGTACACTGAGGCTGCTCTGATATCGATGCCACACTCTGTCAGGTCAGAGTCATAGAAGATCAGGTTTCCTTTCTGCAGCTGCTCAAAAGCCAGTTTTCCCAGAGACTCAGTCATCTTCCTGCTCTCTGGACTCCATGTCGAATCAGTCTCACCTCCACCATGGAACTTGATGTTCTCTAGCTTGGAGTGAACTACTAGAAAGCGTGTGTACATTTCAGTCAGGGTCTGTGGCAGCTTTCTTTTGTCTTTGGTTTTGAACGCATCCTGCAGAACTGTAGCAGTGATCCAGCAGAAGACTGGGATGTGGCACATGATGTGGAGGCTTCTGGATGTCTTGATGTGGGAGATGATTCTGTTGGCCTGCTCCTCATCTCTGAATCTCTTCCTGAAGTACTCTTCCTTCTGTGGGTCAGTGAACCCTCTGACCTCTGTCACCATGTCAACATACTCAGGAGGGATCTGATTGGCTGCTGCAGGTCGTGTAGTTATCCAGAGACGAGCAGAGGGAAGCAGTTTCCTCCTGATGAGGTTAGTCAGCAGCACATCCACTGAGGTGGACTCTGTGACATCAGTCAGGGTCTCGTTGTTTTTAAAGTCCAGAGGAAGTCGACACTCATCCAGACCATCAAAGATGAAAACAACCTGGAACTCTTCAAACCTGCAGATTCCTGCTTCTTTGGTTTCAGTAAAGAAGTGATGAACAAGTTCCAACAGGCTGAACTTTTTCTCTTTCAGCACATTCAGCTCTCTGAAAGTGAATGGAAATGTGAACTGTATGTCCTGGTTGTCTTTGTCTTCAGCCCAGTCCAGAGTGAACTTCTGTGTTAAGACTGTTTTCCCGATGCCAGCCACTCCCTTTGTCATCACTCTTGTGATTGGTTCATCTCTTCCAGGTGAGGCTTTAAAGATGTCTTCTTTTCTGATGGTTGTTTCTGGTCTGTGTGGTTTCCTGGATGCTGTTTCAATCTGTCTGACCTCGTGTTCATCATTGACCTCTCCAGTCCCTCCCTCTGTGATGTAAAGCTCTGTGTAGGTCTGGTTCAGAAGGGTTGGGTTTCCTGCTTTAGCAATCCCCTCAAACACACACTGGAACTTCTTCTTCAGGTTCGCCTTAAGTTTAGCCTGGCAGAGTTTTGCTTCATTTTCTATAGAAAAAGAAATTAAGTAATTGTTCACCTTTAATTATTCCTCATACCTCCAAATTACTTAATCCTTACCAGACTACGAGGTGCACTGGTCGATTAGGGCCAACCAGCGTTCAGCAGGTCAACGAGAGTGAGTTCTGTCTGATATGAACCCCTTAGGGAGGTTTCCTACCTTCATTGCAAAATTAGCAAATTCTCGGCCGGCTGTTTTGGGGCCTTCTAATTGTATGGGGCCCCAAGCAGTTGTCTGCCTTGCCTGTTGACAAGCAGTGCCTCTGATCAGGTGTGGGAAACCTAATTAGGACTAACTTTTGTCCAGAACCATTCGTAACCTTAATGCAAAAATGTGTAATCTATCTACAGCTGTGTCAAGTCATTTAAAACCTTTTCCCGACTGCCCAATTTCATTATTTTTTTCAATTTCATTCTCCTCAGGAAGTCCAGTGTGATCTTCATTAGTGCCTCTCTGCTCGTTCTCCTCTGCTCTGAATCGTTGCCACCCATCCCATCCTCAGCTTCACTTTGACCCTCTGAGTGTTCTTGGTAATCTCTGGTCAACTCCTTCTTCACAAAAGTGAAAATGTTCAAGGTGCTGGAACAGAATGACATTGAATCACATTCATTTCCTGTGTAAGCTTTGTTTTCTTACCAAAGTAACTGAAAATTAATGTAATTTTCAAGTACTAGGAAAAAGAACAAAAAAAAAGCTAAAGTTTGTCACAAAAGACAAAGCGCAAACTGAACACTACATGGACACTACCCTACTAGCAGCACATTACAACACCTTTTCAACATGCATGGTGTGTTAATATCAGCTCAAAACAGTCATCATCATTTCACTTTTCAGTCACCTGTGCTTCTGAACAATGTGTGGACCTAAGTTTATACCTGACACAAATCAATAACCATGGCTTGGAGAAAGTAAGGAGCAGTTCCTTCCTTCCACTGCCTTGGGACCCATAATGCACGGTGAGTCTTCAACTGGATGCAAATAGCAGCAAAATGTATGGTATGTGCTCTGTGATTGACTGGTGAACAGTCCAGGGTGTAACCTCGCCTGTTGCCCAATGACAACTGGGATTGGCTCCAGCCCCCACGCGACCCCGAACGGGAAAGCAGTTAAGATAATGGTTGGATGGATGGATGTATGATATGTGCCAGGAAATCCATTGCATGTTTATCCCCATGAGTAGCACATAGATTGTGGCCTAACGAGAATAACTGGTTGTTATCAGCATAGCAGAGAAGCTTAAGCCATCTGTATGGGGGACAGAGCCGTGTACCGCCAGTAGTTGTGGTTTAGACAGATTCCTTCCATGCATCTTGATAGAAGTAACATACTGAGGAGGTTCCAAAAACAGAAAGTTTGGTGCCTATGAGTTCCTAAGAGACCCAATGCTTTACTGTCAGAAAGGCCAATCTGTGAGGACATTTTGGGTTGCTGTTGATTTGCTGCTAATATCTTCTTCTTCTTTGTGGTCGCTGCTAACTGCTGGTGGCTCATGTACTGTACACACCTCAAAATTCACACCCCTGTTGTTCTTCCAGAGGAACCTATTTACACAGACATCAGTCGACCCTGGTACTACATTCGCGGCCAGGCAAACAACATGGCTCCTCCATTTGTTATTTTTAGAATTAAATGTTGATTTTCTGTGTATTTCAATTAGCAACAGTGCCGTTGGTACATGTACAGTACAGTACAAACCAAAAATATGGAGTCCAGGTCTGTTTGATCCTTCTTGGCAGACTGTGTTTTGCCAACTTCTATGTCCCTCTGGAAAACTATGTGGAGAAGAAAGAAATTCAAAAAGATATGAAAGCATTTAGTGGTTCTCAATAGAATTGCATGAAATATCCTCTTTAAAGCCTTACTGTTGATCGTTGGACTGGTGTCCACCTTGGAATTCATCAAAACGATCAAGAGACCGTTCACTGATGTGTGAGTCCTGTCTTTGCTTTTGGATGCTGATAGAAATGAGGAATTGAAAGAAGAGGACTTTGAGTACATGATGAAAGAGGTTGGGTTAAAAGTGATAACCAACATTTAATATGTAATTTTTCTGTCAAGGTCACTCAAAACTAGGGTTGAGATCAAGGGATTGGCATGGGGACTTGGGCCTTACCCTGGATTGGGAGAGTGCTGACCACCTTTTAAGTCAATGAAACGAACAATAGACTGGTTTCTGTTGATGAACATACAGCTCCAGGGTTCAGGTCCAGGTTCAGGACTGATGTTGAAACCAATTCCTAGGTTCAACCTATACCCCTTGTAACTCCATTCTAAATAGGTCCCTTTCTGTCAAGGTCATTTTAAACTAGATGTAGGCAATTTTGGCAGGGCCTATCCCCAGTTATTTCAAGCTAGCCCATCAGAGAAGAGCCACAAAAAGGTTGAAGTTTCATTTCTGTTTTGTTAAGTTGCTCAACTCCAACCCTTTGCAGTTTTGTTTTAAAGGAGGGTAGGTCACAGCAATGGAACTGGGACTGGGCCTTATCCATGATTTGGAGAACCCTTGACTTAGAAGTTGCCATTGAGAACGTAGCTCTAAGGGATTTGGAATAACATTATTTAGGTAAATCTGTAATTTGGCCTTACCCTGGATGATCTCGATCCCGTCCATCTTTGATACCAATGAAAAGATCCATGGATCCATCACTGTTGGTGGACACACAGCCGGGTTCAGGTCCAGTTTCAGCATAGTCTGGTCCATGTTGCTGCTCTAGACTACAACACATCACATTAAAGAAGTTTGAGTGACGCGAGTGCTGACACGGAGAAGAGTCAGGGACAGTTAGAGATCCACATCTCACCTCTGAGCTTTGCAGTCAACTACCCCACACGAACAAGTTTGAGAGGAAGGGGCTCCTTTCTTTCCGGCCTCGCACAGATTCATAGTACAGCCCAAATCTTCACACACACACACACACACAAAACAGGTTTGTTGACAACATTTACAGCACAAAACATACAGTTTCTACTTGTTCCTTACATACCACAAACTTTCAAGTGCTGTAATAATGACTTGGTCGCCTAAATGGGACAGCACAGTTTGGTGTTTTGTAACAGTTAAGTGACTTTAATGCAGAGCCTTACATTCACATTGACATTCACAACACAGACTCTGCAGATCGAGTCTCTCTGCACCTTTAAGAAAAAGCTAAAGACCCAGAAGTTGTACAATCACTGAAACAGCTTCGTGTTTCCGTCCGACACATTGACCTGGTCCATGTCCAAATGACTTTGCAGCCTTTTGGGAACCATGAGGCCGTGTGTGATGAGTGTGACTCAGTGTTTGTGTTTCTAACATGCTTTAAAACCAGTTTTTCACTTCCCCTGCTTCCTCGTCAGCTCCACACATCAGTCTGAGATTACAATCAAAGCTGCTGCTGGTTCTGAGAAATGACGCCCTGTGAAATATTTGTCATATTTTTGTACTAAAGCACAGGAACTGTGAATTTAATGTACGCCTTAAAAGTTTAACTTGATCTCAATGATCGGGTTTACTGCAAGAACTCAAATCTTAGAAAGTGTATGAGTCTTATTTCTAGTCAAAAATATCTCAATACACAAGTCCTAACAAATAGCTGATTTTTAAGGAAGAATTATGACTTCATATAATTTTACCATTTTCAGCCCAGGCTGCACAGTGCTGCAGTGGTTAGCGCTGTGAGGAGGTTCCTGGTTTGAATCCCTGTCTGACAGGAGCCTCTCTGTGAGGAGAAGGATGGGATTGGATAGATTTGATTATCACCATCACACTGCGTCATCCCAACAACAACAACCTGCCTGACGCCCAGCCTCCACCATCGGACACAACCACCGCCACCTCCTCATTCATACACGGCCTGCTCTGACCTCTAACCTCAGCGACAAGGAAGTGTGGACAACAGGAACGTGAGGAATACAAAGGAGAAATCCTTCCTGCATATTATCCCATCTGCTCTCAGTGGTCAGCCTTGGTTGTTTTAAACGTGCTTTAAGAATAAATTTGACTTGATTAGAAAGTAGACAAACACACTCTCGTTAACCGGTGGCATTGCTTCAGATTATCACAAACCTACAAACTGAATAAAGGTTAAACTTCATGCACAGCTTTAAAGGCTTAATATGTGATTTTTCACACTAGAAATCAAGTATATGCTCTGAAAATAACTCTGTGAGTCATGACTGTCTACAATGGGTGTAACACCCGAGTCCACTGTCTGTGATGTTTTCAGAGTTTCAGAGTCCTATCTTCACTTTGTTTACATCGCCCGGACGGCCGGCTGACTCCTCCCCTCGTGTATAAAAGTTGTTTAATTGAGGGACTAGAGAAAAGAAGAATAACATACTGTACTCACTGCTTAACTGTGTTTCTAGATCACGCTCATTTCAGGTAAATTTACATGCAGTGTGAAGATACCAGCATAATAAAGATCGCTAGCATTAGCATGCTAACACAACAATGCAGCGCGAGTTGTTTTGGCTTTAAACGTGCTTTAAGAATAAATTTGACTTGATGATAAATTAGACAAACACACTCTCGTTAACCCGCTGGCGTTGCTGCAGATTATCACAAATCTACAAACTGAATAAAGGTTAAACTTCATGCACAGTTTTGATGACACATTTTTACAGTGCACCTGCGTTAATTCATATCAAATTTATGCTCATGACAGTTTCTGAGAATTTTTGTTTTTAACAGCACCATGTGATAACAAAGATAATCATCCAACTCACAGATTTCTCTGGTAGGATTCTTGCCTGTTGTCCTAGCCTCAGGTCAGACACTTTGCACCTTCCCGTGTTTAGAGAAATACCTTCCTCTCTGCATCTGGTGTCAGGACGCCGTCTCTCCTTCTTCACCTCTGAGTTTGAGTTCAAAAACAACAACACATCAGTAAGAGATCTAAAACCAGTCGAACCTGTGGCAACACATATCTGCTAGTGTCAGGTTCATCAAGTATCACTTCATGTAGTTCTGCTTTCTGTCCACTAGGTGGTGTTAAGGATTACCACCGAGAGATGCAGAGCTGTGGATCATTGAGACATCAAACAGCGACTCTGTGAGGACACCTGGTGGACAAAGGGGGGAATGACAGGAGAGGTTAAAGAGAAGAGGAGAAAACAGATTGATGAATGTCGTAATCAAACTGCTAAAAAAACGAACAATGGTGGAAGATTTATATGGTAAGAGGACACACATCCATACGTTTTATTTTACTCTGTTTTCCTGCAATAAGGAGTTCATGTTGATTGTTTTCTTGAGTGAAAGTGAAAACATGAAGGTGCTGCTTCTGTGTCCAGACTTGTGTGTGTGTGTGAGACGCAGATTGTCCACCAGGTGGCGATGTTATAAAAGAATCAGGTCATTCTGCTCCTGCTCCAACAAACAGTCCAGACAGCAATTCAACATTAACAGGGAAATGTTAACGAGAAAAACTTTGTAATTTATTTCACTGTCACATGATTCAAATGTTTCATGAAGGTTTATTCATGAATAACAATAACATTTTGATACTTAAAAATCAGGGCAGTCAGCATTAACTCCACCTTCAAAATAAAAGCAGCACACTTGAGTTTGTCCACCTTTCAAAATAAAATCACCAAATTCCAGTTTCTCCACCTTTCAAAATAAAAGCACCACACGTTATTATTGTTGCTGCCGCTGTCAACTACATGGCCGCCTTCCAGAAGATGCTTTTTTTTCTTTTTCAGGAACCGAAAAACAAACGGCGTCTTGTCTGATGACTAGCTCGTCCCGTCTTTATGAACCTGGAGGGAATCTGCAGCTGGCAGGACAACGTGTGGTTACATTTATATTCTGCGTTTCTCATGTCAACATCAACAGATGTGTAGAGAGTGAGATGATAAAGGTATCTTACTATCTGATCATTAAAGGTCCAATCAGTGAGCTGTGTAGAGAGTGAGATAATAAAGGTATCTTACTATCTGATCATTAAGGAAACATGCTACGTTGAAGTGCTGGCTTCTCTGACAACAATGCAGCAGCCAGTATGTCCTCCTTCTAACTTTAGATTCTGGCCCTGAATGATCTGGATTTGTTTGACATTTGACAAACATTCAATGATTTTTATGAATTTAACCCTTTAAATGCCAGTTTGATTACTTGATGTCACTGTTGTTATTTATGGAAAAAAACACAAAAATGTGTTATTTTCCATGTAACAGATATTTGGTGGCTGGGGGATTTTTTTTAAATCAGTCTTTTGACAAAATATTGACGAAGAAGATTTACTTTATTGATCCCTGCAAGGGAAATATCAGTTTTTACACTCTGTAGTCATGCAACACACACATAGGCTGAAATATACACACATGCAGAAACAGGATCCTATGGACATGCACTAATGGAGAGAAGTCAGAGTGACGGGCGGCCCACAGCGGGCGCTCCTGGGCTGATGGTGGTCAGGGGGTTTGATGCCTTGCTCAAGGGCACCTCAGCAGTGCTCAGAGGTGATCTGGTTCCCAACCCAAGTCCTACAGACTGAGCTACTGCCGCCCCCAACTTTGATGCATTGTTAGTTTTTGTGTAGCATCAGATTTAAAATGTATTTCCCTTTTTGGACATAGGAAGGCGAAAATGTCCAATTTCCTAAAACTGATGTAAAAATAGAACAGATTTATTTTTTTCTACTTGTTTTTGCATAAATCTCTTAAACAACTTCAGCCCTGCTCGAAACTACCAAATATTGAGTAATTATCAGGAATTTAACCCTTTAAATGCCAGTTTGATTGCATGATAATGGCATTTAAAGGGTTAAAATCCTGATAATTACTCAATATTTGGTAGAAGTTGTTTAAGAGATTTTTGTCCTTAGCGACTTAAGAGGGTAGTAAATTAAACTGATGCCTGAGGGTTAAGACACCCCCACTCTGCCATTTTGGACGCCCCTCGGTTTGCCAGATATGAGAGCAGTTATCAGGTCAAACCAACAGGTGTTGCAGCGATGAAACAGGTTCTGAAACTTCTACAGATTCTTAAACTTCCCTCCCTGAGGGAATCTGGCTGCTGTCTGAATCTATCCAATATCCAAAAAATGAGAAGGTGACAGTCGTGACTGATTCTTTCCAATCCTGTGATTTACGGCTGTTTGTAAAGAAGATGAAGTTCCCTGTCAGCTCGGCACCTGCAGCCACCCGCAGCAGGATCGCAAGCCAGCACATTACAGACGTGCCTGCACGCTGACACCACTCCAAAAGGCTGTGGCAGTAAATCACGGCCATCAGGAATCTAATAGAGTCGTCCCATTGGATAACCTGGAAACCGTATCCAAGAAATACATCATTATCCTGAAGCCAGAAACATTCCCACTCGTTCGTCTCAACTTGTTCCACAGATTTTCTGCTCGCACTCAAAGATCAGGACGACGAGACGGCATTTAAAAGGAGGTTTTTAATGTCATAATCTTTAACAAAATAAATATCCTGCAATAAAATTATTAACCTTTGTAACATATATGATACTATACATATAAAGAGACAGGCAACAGAACATCCTTTAAAATAAAAAACTAGCTTACAGATGTTACAGCTGAAGAACATCAGGACAATCTGGATTTCATTCATTATATATCAACGACATGATGTAGCGTTAGATTTCTTACATGTTGTGTTTTACTCTCTCTGGGAAGTGTTTTTAATTATGAGATATTAATCTTTATTTATCTGGCAGGGTGAGATATCTGAGCGCAATCAAAGATGTTTTATTGCTTCAGTTCGTTTGGTTTTCAAAGAGAGCAGCTTTGAATAGCGGCCTTTGTCTCCGATTGTTTATCATCTTTGAGAGAGAGCGCTGATTGTTATCCAGTCATGTCGGGTTTGATCATCAGGTGAATTTTTTCAGGCACTCGAGGCGCTAAAAATAACCACGACTCAAAAAAAGCTGATGAGAACGTGTTCAAGGTGAATTCTGATATTTCTTTTTACAATTGGGTTTTAAATGAAAAACAGACATGAAGCTGCTTTCACACTTTGCACAAAACTCTTTAAAAAACTCCTGATATTTCCTGACTCTGTTACTTCTTCCACTACTTCCTTACCTCAGGAGACCCCCTTCCCCCCGGTACCCCGCCAAGTTGTTGCAGCAATGGAAGCGGTCAAGAGAAGTGGTTCAGATAGAAGTGATTGTACCCGACCTAAAAAGCCTCTGCATGTTTCTAATAAGCTCCACGAGCAGAAACGTGCTCAAACTAGGATCAATATTGGAGATGCTTTTGAAAAATGGAGAGAGGTTAGAACACAGATAGGTTTACAGACCCATGCAGAGCTGGATAAACACTGAAGCTTCAGAGTCCACCACATGGTGACCTGAGTGAGCATCCACTCTAGAGAGGAGGGGGAGGAGACAGCTGAAGTGTCCAAAGCGCACAGCTTATCCACAGGGGTACCTCAAGGGTCAGTGCTTGGTCCCCTTCTCTTCTCCATATACACAAGCTCACTTGGTTCAATAATCCGCTCTCATGGCTTCTCATACCACTGCTATGCTGACGATACCCAGCTCTTCCTGTCATTCCCGCCAGACAATGTTACAGTCTCTATAAGAATCTCATCATGCCTTGCTGATATCTCTAAATGGATGAATGAACGCCACCTTCAACTCAATCTTTCAAAGACTGAGCTCCTTGTCATCCCAGCCAGTCCCTCTATGCAACCACAGATCAATATCCAGCTTGGAACAACCAAACTCATGCCCACAAAGTCTGCAGGAACCTGGGTGTCATGATTGATGACCAGCTAACTTTTAAGGTTCAAGTAGCCTCGATTGCCCGGTCATGTTGATTTGCCCTGTACAACATCAGGAAGATCAGACCTTACCTGTCAGAACATGCTACATGCTACATGCTACACAGCTCCTGGTACAGGCTCTTGTGATATCACGCATCGATTATTGCAACTCTCTACTGGCAGGTCTTCCTACAGTCACTATCAAACCTCTGCAGATGATACAAAATGCAGCAGCACGACTGGTCTTCAACCTTCCTAAAAGAGCACATGTCACTCCGCTGTTCATCTCCTCACACTGGCTCCCAGTTACTGCTCGCATCAAATTTAAAACTCTGCTGCTCGCTTACAAAACAGACACAGAAACGTCTCCTCCTTACTTTAACTCTCTGATCCAGGTCTACACTCCCTCCCCCCCCCACTACACTCTGCCAATGAAAGGCATCTGATCCAACCTTCACAACAGGGTCCTAAGTCTCTGACTAGACTCTTCTCCTCTGTCGCCCCCCCGGTGGTGGAATGAACTTCCAAACTCCATGTGATCTCCAGAGTCCCTCTGCACCTTTAAGAAAAAGCTAAAGACCCAGCTCTTTCATGAATACCTACTAACTTAATGATGATGGTCTCCATATTATTGATGATGATGATGGTAATGACGATGGTTTTTGTTTGATAACGATGACTTATTAGATGGTTTCTATACTGATTAGAGCTCTCAAGAACTGCCCTCAATGTTGTGCTTTGCCTCTGATCACTTCCTGTCAGCACCTGTGTGTCCAATCAGACTCAAAGCTGATCGTTTGCTCTTACTCACATTGTTCCCTTTTTTCTAGATCCTTGCTTGTGTTGTTCTTACTCTCTGATGTACGTCGCTTTGGATAAAAGAGTCTGCTCAGTGAATTGTAGAATTGTAGCTCTCTACAATCTTTAGAATTTAGACTGCAGTACCCATTTTAAACACTGGGGGGCAGAGTTACATACTGCTCCTTTAAGATTCTTAAATTAAAACAAAGTAGAATCAAAATGAGACGTCTTTTGGATAAATGTTCACATAGCTAGCTAGCTAGCATTTGGAGCAGCATAAAATGCCTAAGAGTGATGGACAGCACTCTACAATGTTTTGAATTTAGACTGCAGTACCCATTTTAAACACTAGGGGTCTAACTCTCAGTTGTGGGCATTGCAGCTTGGCCTCCCTGAAATACTTTTATTTAGTTTAGTTGAGATTTTAAAGTGTCTGATTTTGTGCCAAAAACGTCCAAACATACATCATGACTCCAGGTTGTTTTACTGTGTAATAAAAAAAAAGAGTTGTTAGTGTCGAGGTGTGAAGTTCAACAGTGCTGAACAAGTCAGAATTCTAAAATGTCAAAAGGTGTGAATGCGAGGTCCCGTTTCGCCGCAGCGTGGTCGCAGCAGCGTGGTCGCAGCAGCGTGGTCGATTCCTCAGATCCACAAATCAGCTGACAGAGAGGTCACAGGTTCAACTCCCACCACCTGCTGTCATCAGCCAACTCCTCTCCTGATGCTTCACCATCAATACATTTACATAAAACACACACACACACACACACACACACACACACACACACACACACACACACACTGTACACGTCTACCCCACCATCCGAGGCCGGAGGACAAACTAAAGGGTCCATGAGTTGTTATAGATGATTGCGTTAATGTGTGGCCTCGAGGCGCTCAGGTCTGCTGTCTGAGTACATGCCGGCTCCTTTTTTCCCATAATGCATCTGGGTTTCTCTCCAATCGTTTGTCAGACTTCCCGGTCACCTCCGCACCGTCACCGCTGAGAAGAAAGAAAACAAAAACAACCTAAGATGAGAAACATGGTAGGAGTGTGTTTTCCACGCACTCCATACTCGCTGTGTACCGTCAGCGCTACAAGTTTAGTGTCGGCGTGCGCCCTGCCCCCGCCGAGCGCAGCCGCGAGCAGCTGTGCACACATCACAGCAGATCTACCAGATTAGCGGGAATAAAGGGGCGGAGCTTGCAGTGGAAACATTTAGAGTGGAAGCAAACGGCGCTGTGGTGCACGCCACTGACGGAGTATGTGGAAATTGGGATTTAGAGCATTTGTGTTTCTGCGTGTGTGTGTGTGTGTGTGTGTGTGTGTGTGTGTGTGTGTGTGTGTGTGTGTGTGTGTGTGTGTGTGTGTGTGTGTGTGTGTGTGTGTGTGTGTGTGTGTGTGTGTGTCTGTGTGTACTCACTGTGTCTGCGTGTGGGCGGAGCAGAAGCTCACACACTCAGCGTCCTGTGTGTCCATGCAGAAGCAACGTACGAGCTCCCGCCTGAGCCGGACGGATCCGAATCCGTAAGGAACCACGTGGCTGCAGGACAGAAAACACACTGGTTCAATAATCCCTCGGGTTGGACTGTAAGGAGAACATCAGCGTGTGAGAAACACCCGGGTTAATGAATCCCTCGGGCCGGACTGTAAGGAGAACATCAGCGTGTGAGAAACACCCGGGTTAATGAATCCCTCGGGCCGGACTGTAAGGAGAACATCAGCGTGTGAGAAACACCCGGGTTAATGAATCCCTCGGGCCGGACTGTAAGGAGAACATCAGCTTTTTTCTGAAGATGCATTTTGAAAATGTTTGATGGTCGCCATGTTGGAAATGCTGACTTTACCTTACTTAACACCCTTCTAGTAATGGTCAAAGAGGTGGAGCGGAGGCGGGGCTTAAGCCTCCTGACAACATGCCCATCAGTCAGTCAACTCTGATCCCTAATCATGCGAAAGTAAGCTTTACTCTTAGCCTCCAATCAGAAAACTATCCCTGCTTAAAGGTGCAGTACAGTAAAATCAGGTATAATAGACGCACTCTCTTTTAAAAATGTTTAAAGGGGACATTACAACACAGAGAAAAATGCTTTGTTTCAAATGTGCACTCCTTGTGATGTCACAGTGGGATTCTGGTAAAATAAATTACCAGCAGTTTGAAAATATCTTTGTTTTTAAATCTGCACTTCTTTGAAATCTGTTTTCTGTACAGGAATCAAACGGTAGCACATCTGGCTCTAATCTGCACACCATGGTCGCAGATTCTCACGTGCATCCTGCAGCCTTCCTCGCCTCTCCATCATCATCACTTCCTGTGTCTTCCTGCTCACTTCCACCATCTCCGTAGTTTTAGTTCCACACGTTGTGAATGATGATGCAGTTTGACTCCTGCTTTGACTGTTTCAGCTCTCAGGATCAATAAATCGTCCAGCAGCTCGCTGACTTACGACTCCTCTGCACTCGCTGCTCTCTACATGTCTGCTGTGAAAGCTACTCGGCTTCATGTTTATGGCGTTGTTGGCAGGATGCTGCTGGAAAACTTTAAACTACATTTAAAGATCTCAACATTTCAAGGAAAATGTTTCTAATGGATCTTTTAAATCTGCCTGTCATGGTTCAAGTGGAAGTTGGAGAGCAGGACTCTTCTTCAGCTGAAAGTTTTCAATTTTTAAGAGGCGAAACTTTGAACAGAGCCGGACTCATTGGTGGGCAACATTTAAAAAGATTCTATATTAAAGGTCCAATCAGTGAGATGTGTAGAGAGTGAAATGATAAAGGTATCTTACTCTCTGATCATTAAGGAAACATGCTATGTTGAAGTGTTGGCTTCTCTGACAACAATGCAGCAGCCAGTATGTCCTCCTTCTAACTTTAGATTCTGTTCCTGAATGCTCTGGATTTGTTTGGACCAGAGAAGGTAGGCGCTTTTAAGACCCCCCCACACGGCCGTTTTGGACGCCCCTCAGTTTGTCAGATATGAGAGCAGTTATCAGGTCAACAGGTGTTGCAGTGATGGAAGCGGTCAAGAGAAGTGGTTCAGATAGAAGTGATTGTACCCGACCTAAAAAGCCTCTGCATGTTTCTAATAAGCTCCACGAGCAGAAACACCTTCAACCACTAACAGACTCTGCTTCACATCCTCTGTCTCTTTGTTCTGACATTATGACTCAGGGAAGCGGGCTTTTTGTGGGTTCATTGTGTCGGCTGGTTCCTTTGAGTAAATATGGCAGCAGTGATTTACAGTGTTTGTTTTGAGTTCACCGTCTGGACCGTCAGAGCGTCTCGTCTGTGTCTGATGAACAAAACCACTTATTCCATCTGTGAGGAAATTACACTTCTGACATGACATGACCAGCACGCCGTTCTTTTTAGTACGATATCACGGCCAGCTAAAGGACTCAACTCAGAGATACTCTTACTACAAACAACCACAAACAAACTGTTGACTGTCTGTCTCTGCTCCGAGCTTGTTGATTCCTCCTGAAATCTTTAAAACACAAATTTACAGTTTCAAATAAAAAAAGGTTCCTTTACTCCCAAAGGCAGCTTCTTACTGCTGTATGTGGAAATCTAGATATATCTAGTAATATATCTAGAGGAACACACCATCCACATCCAACCAATCTCTTGATTTGCTCTATGACAGAACGCTGTGTGTCCGTCGTTCGTGCACCGCATCTAAACAAGGTTAACGTTAGCGTTTCAAGGACGTTAGCATTTGTTTCAAGGTGCGCCTTAAGCAAATCTATCAAGGTGGTCTTCATTGTTTGTCTGAATTGATCTGTTCTATCTTTATCTGATCTATTTCTGGGAACCCTCAGAGTCTTTTTTAAGGTTCCCAATGTGACTTAAGTGTCTGTTTCGAGGTACTCGGTAGTCGTACTACTCTTTTCAGAGTGTTTTTTAGCGTTGATTTCAGGTACTGGTTTGTATCTGTTTTTAGTGCTATGTCAAGGTAACCTTAAGGGCGATCTAAGGGAACTCTTAAGTGTGTTTTAAAGTTAAGGCCTGAATCATACTCACAGGTTAATTAGTTGCTTTTAGTCGGTGTCAGGGTACCCTTAGCTTTAGCGGTGTCTGTTTTAATGTTGCTTTTAGCACCAGTTATCCTTCAAGGTTACAAAGAACCCTTCAGCATCTGTTTTAAGGTACCCTTTGAGTGTATTTAAGAAATATATAAGTGTCTGTTTCAGGGAACCACAGATCTGGCCTGTGTCTGCTTCAAGGTACCCGTTGCGTCAGTAACAAAGACTCTTTCAATAACTGCTTCAAGGTACTTTGAGTCTGTTCAAAAGAACCCTTCAGCATCTGTTTTAAAGTACACTTTGAGTTTGTTTCAAGGTACCCTGAGTCTCTTATAAAGCTTTTGTGTGTTTCAAAGTACACTTTGAGTCTATTACAAAGTCATGTTTGTGTCTTTAATAATCTCTTAGTGTCTATGTCAACGTACCCTTTGAGTCAGTCACAAGGAACTCTTTGAGGTCTGTTTGAAGTTAGAAAGAACATATTGTGTCTGTTCAATGTACCCTATAAGTCCTTTCCTTCAGTATCTGTTCGATGTACCCTATAAGTCCTTTCCTTCAGTATCTGTTCAATGTACCCTATAAGTCCTTTCCTTCAGTATCTGTTCGATGTACCCTATAAGTCCTTTCCTTCAGTATCTGTTCAATGTACCCTATAAGTCCTTTCCTTCAGTATCTGTTCAATGTACCCTATAAGTCCTTTCCTTCTGTATCTGTTCGATGTACCCTATAAGTCCTTTCCTTCAGTATCTGTTCAATGTACCCTGGTGTCTGTCCTTAAAAACTATTCAGAATCTGACTCAAGGTACCCGTTGAGTCTGTGACCAAGACCCCTTCAGTGTCTCTTTTAAAGCACCTCTTAGGGTCTCAGTAAGGACCGGTTGAGCGTCATGTTCCAGGTAGGCGATAGCATCTGTTTCTAGGTGCCCATCAGCCTCTGATTGGACGAGAAGGTAAGGGGACAGGACGCACATTTTACATATTTAGTAAAACTACATGTTGACCTGACCTTTCTCCTCATCAAGCATTCATTTAAATGACATTTCATCGTCTTTGTCTGGATGTTGTTCGACAGGAAACGTTCATCAGGAGCTCCACGCTGCCTTCAGGGTTTGGTTGTTACCGTTAGCGACGGCGTGTGCTGCCAGTAATGTTCCCTCTTTTTAATGAAGGCAGGAAGATTAGACCACGCCACTATGTTTAGACTTAAACTAACAATCTGGGACTTAGTGAGAGGGCCCCCACCGCCGCAACGAGCTGCTTTTAGCTCCTCTCTGGAACCTATTTCTGTCACACCTCTCTTTTTCTTAATTAACGCGGCTTATTTGACACTACAGGAAAAAAACCCACAGAAACGCTCGGGCTGGAGACGGCGTTTTAGAGAAATGTAATCTAACAGGTGGGTTTGAATTTGTTGAACCTGCTAAGACGTGATGAGATAAGATTAAAGACGACACATTTACGGCTCAGATAAGGTGGACTGGAAGACGATGGGGCGCCTGTGGAAAGGGTTAACTGGTTTGGGGTTGGACCACAGCAGCTCTTTGTGGTCTCCTCGGTGGGCTTGTGTTTAAAGGGTTAAAACAGGATATTTAGAAGCAGCAGAGGAAATTACCCCTCGTTAGCTAAGGTGCTCTTTGTCATTAGCACCACCACATCTAACTGCTAACTCATTGCTTGTGCACACTGAACTAAAATGAAGTTAATCGCTGCCAATAATGGAGACAGCTGGTCCCGATTTAAAGCAAAGAGACTGAACGTACTTCAAAAATAGATTCAATGAAGCCGGGATGAATTTTATTTTTGTTTCTCCAAGTGACCATCAACTACAGAGAGAGAAAATGGGAGTCACGACAATCGACATTTTCACAAACAGAACTGCTTTTTCCAGTTTACACCATGAACAGAGATGGCGCTGTTTTCCAACCTTTGCCCCCTGAAACCAATTTTTTTTTACTTTTCTGCTCTCAGTCACCCAAAACGCATATAATACAACACAAGGTTCCAGTTTTTAGGCCAAAATCGTTGTTGTATAAACAGGGCCTGAATACGTTTTGTAATTTCTCGATCGCTTCAAGTGACTGACGTGAAACAGGTCGTTTACCTGCTGCAGAATGACAGATGCAGTTACCTCTTTGTGGTCATTTAGACCCTTTAACATGTAAAAACAAAGCGCGGGTTAAAGGCTTTATATGTGATTTTTTGATCCAGCAGATGTTGCCCTTGAGCACCAGCATGAAACCAAAACAACTCACGCTGCATTGTTGTGTTAGCATGCTAATGCTAGCGATCTTTATTATGCTGGTATCTTCACACTGCATGTAAATTTACCTGAAATGAGCGTGATCTAGAAACACAGTTAAGCAGTGAGTACAGTATGTTATTCTTCTTTTCTTTAGTCCCTCAATTAAACAACTTTTATACACGAGGGGAGGAGTCAGCCGGCCGTCCTGGCGATGTAAACAAACTGAAGATAGGACTCTGAAAACTCTGAAAACATCACAGACAGTGGGACTCGGGTGTTACACCCATTGTAGACAGTCATGACTCACAGAGTTATTTTCAGAGGAGTGTGAAAAATCACAGATTAAGGCTTTAACGACGAACAAACTGGACAGACATGGCGTTCAATCAGGCATCACTAATGGTCATGGCTCCAAAAACACGGTGAGTCTGAAGTCTAAAGTTTGAACTGAAAACAGACCAAGCTGTCATTCCAACATGTTGTTCCACTCGCTCTAATTTTCAACATTCCTGTCTGACGTTTTGATATAAATCACAGCCGGAGAAGACGAGTGTATAAGTTGTGCTGTCCTGTCGTGCTGCCTTGCATGTTCTCCGTCCACACAGCATCGTTTTGACTCTGTTATTTAAAAAGGAGACGAGCTCAGTACGAAAACCTCCCAGAGACCAAACAAGACCCGAGCCCAGACTTTGTGTCAGATCTTTAACTTGATCCTTGAAATCAATTTTAATAAGATTTTAAACTTTAACTCTGTACTGTAACTTTTAACTGTTTTTATATTTTTACTTTATTTATTTAAATTAATTTCATTTGAATTTTTTGTATTTGAACATATTTTCAGATTTAATAATTTCAGTGATTTTTTAATTCTCTATTTTAATGTTTCTTTTCTTTCCTCTGTCATGACGTTTTTGATGTCTTGGGTGAAGCACTTTGAATTGCCTTGTTGTTGAAATGTGTGACTCGACTTCAACCGACTTTGAAGACAAAGACGTGTATAGTGGCTCTTTCGCTTTAAGAAGAATGTGAAGAGTCTGCAGTAAGTTTCACAGAAATGTCCAAAGAGGGAAAATGGCCGTTGGTTTCATTGCTGCATGAGATCGACCATAACAGAGCGAGCATTCAATGTTTCTGCAGCAGGAAGCTCAGGCTGACGTCATCACATGTCCACAGGTGTGCTGCTAAACTGTATACGAAATGGATGTCACTCATTGTTTCTTAAGCAAACTCTAGAGGCCAAGCGATGACAGTCGTATTGGAAATGTTGTCTCAACCTTACTTCTGGTCAAACAAAGAGGTGGAGCCATTTTTCTCCATTTTTCAAAAGCATCTCGTCTGTAAACATATTCTCTTCCTCAGGTTGGTTTCACCCGGTCGTCATGACTACGGTCAACTCAGAGGTGGTTTTCACCGAGGGTAGAGGTGGGGTAGCGGAGAGAATCACTCCCATGATTCCCCGCCAGCCTCAACGTCATCTTTTTGTTATTGTTTTGATTGAGAGCCCCCTGGTGGTGGAGTTTAGGTACTGGGTGTTTCAGCTCAAGTTTGATAGATTTTAAAGGAATGAAGCATTTTAAAATCCTCCACAGAATGATTTTTTTTTTTTTTGTCTAAAAATACAGATGTAGACGCTGAAACATTTCACATTTTTAATGGTTGAAAAAGAATCCAACGCCTCATTATTCATATTTGATATAATTTGATCTTAAACTCTTGAAAGTGCATATTCTTAAAGCTTGATGTAAAACAATTAAAGTTAAATCTGCAGAATCATTCAATTTTTCTGTCCAGTGTTTGCAACAAGCTCCACATTCTGAGTATTATCTTTTTATTCTCCCGCGGTTTACCAGATTAGATCTTTAATTATGAAACATTAAATTGTGTTTTTAGTGCTGGCTTTGCTTGCAGAGCTGTAACTTGTGATTTCCTTCTTATAAACTCCTGAGCTGGCACAACACTCTCAGTTTGTCTTCTTTTTGGACTCGAACACCTCGCTGCAGAGCGGACCCCCCGAGAGCTCGCCCTGATTATTGATCGCTGCTTATCTCTGGTTTGTTTTATGATCATGTTGGAACACAGGGATGTTTATCAGAGAGCTCTGTTACAGAGAAAACAACCCGGCTCTGCCCTCGCTGCACGGCGCTCACCTCGGTGAGTTGACCCAGACGATCCCGATGTGGCAGAAAAAAATGCACTCCTTGTCTTTCTGGTTGTCGCAGGAGCAGCGTTTCTCACGGCGGTGGGCTGTGTGGGGGAGCTGCGCCAGGGGGCCCTCCTCCGCCGTGGAGCCCGGGATGGAGACGGTGGAAGCTGGAGGAGGAAAAGAGGAAAGAGCGCCGTTATTAACAGACAAAGAGATTAACCTTTATTAACAATGGGGGACATTTACAAAACAGGAAGTCGTAAACACAGCGTGTATAGATAGATCATCAGGTGAGAGTTACTGTGACAAGCGACTAATAGTGCAACGCCATCTTGAAAACAAACAAACATTTGTATCGCTGTATTACAGTTTCTAGAACATCTGAGAATGTGGAGTTCACATGTAGGGACCTTCAAAACATGTAGGGACCTTCAAAACATGTAGGGACCTTCAAAACATGTAGGTACCTTCAAAATAAAATTCAGACTTGTATAGAAATGTCCAAAGAGGGAAAATGGCCGTTGGTTTCATTGCTGCATGAGATCGACCATAACAGAGCGAGCATTCAATGTTTCTGCAGCAGGAAGCTCAGGCTGACGTCATCACATGTCCACAGGTGTGCTGCTAAACTGTATACGAAATGGATGTCACTCATTGTTTCTTAAGCAAACTCTAGAGGCCAAGCGATGACAGTCGTATTGGAAATGTTGTCTCAACCTTACTTCTGGTCAAACAAAGAGGTGGAGCCATTTTTCTCCATTTTTCAAAAGCATCTCGTCTGTAAACATATTCTCTTCCTCAGGTTGGTTTCACCCGGTCGTCATGACTACGGTCAACTCAGAGGTGGTTTTCACCGAGGGTAGAGGTGGGGTAGCGGAGAGAATCACACCCATGATTCCCCGCCAGCCTCAACGTCATCTTTTTGTTATTGTTTTGATTGAGAGCCCCCTGGTGGTGGAGTTTAGGTACTGGGTGTTTCAGCTCAAGTTTGATAGATTTTAAAGG